GGGGGGGGGGCAGGGAATAAAGCTAGGTAGGGATCAAAGATAAACAGTGAAAATAAAGATAAACATGTTTCAAAATAAAGATAAAACCTTGAAATCCTACATGACCGTGTATATTGATAATGGCAGTAAGCAGGACACAGGCCAGAGCAGGAATGTATAGAGAGATTACCACTTCCCAGGTAGAAGCAAAACCTAAAGATCTTAATGTTTTTACAAGGAAGTGCTAGACAATCTCCATCCCAGACTTCTTGAAGAACTGCCATGTGAAGTTACAGATTCCAGGAGTAAACAGTGAAAATAATTTGGAGGTAGTATCACATGAGAGTTGCAAATATTGCATCTGTATTTAAGAAGCAAAGGAAAACATGACAATCAGCTGTGGATCTGTTAACCCAGCCTTGATAACATGTGAAGTTTAAAGGTATATACTTTTGTAAAAGCAAAGATACAAAGTTTAGTATGAAAAATGAGATATAATTCAACACAGATCTGTAAAAGACTGGTTCTCTACTAACCAGGTATTTGTCTTAGATCTACTTTATTACCTATATTTAGAAGAACCAATTTTCTTATCTGTCAGTACTTCAGAGAAGCACTTCATATGGGGAGTTAGTTAAAATGGAGATGATAATACTATTGTAGGATGGGACACAGCAAGACAGGGAAGAGACAAAATGGAAAGCATTAGGCTAAAGAAAGGTTGAAAATTATTTCATTTAATAACCTTTGAAATAAATAGTGGAGAAGGAGGAAAGAAAAAGAGTGCTAATGGCAGAGCGTTGGGAAGATAGCAGTTTGTCTTCAACTTCTAGTTGCTAGATTGTTTTAAATTTGATAGAGTTGCTCAATATCACACAACCCTTTAAGAACCAAGTCAGGAATAAAAACCAGCAAAAACTTAACACAATTTTCTGTCCCTTTTAAGTGATCTTAATAGACAGATTTTTAACAGCATGTAGACACCTAACTTCCACACCCTCAAAACACAAATTCTAACCTTTTACAAAGCAGCTGTGGGGCCAAGACTCCCATTTACTCTATGGAAGTAAACATTTAAAAGACTACAAATATGCCTTACAGGTCACTAGTTATTAGGAGGTCGAAATATTACCTATATTTTTCATGTATTGAATCTAAACACATGGGAGCCTGAAGGCCAGTGTTCC